TCAAGACATAGATTCGGGGAAATTTGCCTTTGTTCTGTCATTTCTGAGCAGTTTTGTTGACCCACCTGAACATCACGTTGTAATGAAATAACTGATGTGGCTTCACCTGTGTGAGTTTTATGTGAATGTTTTGGGGACTGCACCGTTTATCCCACCACATATTCATACGTTGATTTAGATTTCCAATGTTTGTGCAGTTTGTGTTCTCTAATTTATCAGATTTATCAAATAATTTAATGGACAAACTAATTTCATCAACATTTAAGTCTTCCCTTGTTTTCAGGATTAAAACTTTTATTGACAAATTGCATTACATGTAGGGAAAAACACTAGAGCTCTTGGGAATTGATGCCTTTGAGACCAAAGCATCTGCTCTTTACTTCCAGAAATCAATTCAGACGCGTCTGCAGTAAAAGCTCCCTCCCTGCCTCGACACCCACCCCTGCCTCAGACAGCTATTATGACCCTAGAAATAAGGGGGACCACCCCCTGGAGATGTCAACATCTTGTCTCCCTCTCTTTGTTACCGAATATGGCCAAATGAGTCATTCAATTCAGTTGCACAAAGGAAGCAGCCGGGCTCTGCCTGTGGCCAATTTGTTTTCCATCACTTCTGAAGTGCGCCGGGTTAAATTAACCCGTCACTCCGAGTCTGCCGGGAGAAGACAAAGTGAGGCCACGAGCAATAATCACTCATGTATAGTGGTAAATAAAAAGCTGGGTAAACTGTGCCCTCCGGGTGTTAGCAGTCACACTGGAAGGTAATAACAAACCAGATCTATCTCTGAGAGAAGCTCTGACTACACTCCACAAAACCGTTGTATAAAACTGTGAATCAGGAATACATTTAAGAAGGGATACAAGCCAAAGAACTGATTTTTTCTTCTTATGATGCACCAATAATGCTGTGCCTGAAAACCATTTAAGACTAACTTATAATACAGCTGATTGGGAGAACATTACATTTAACAACAACTTCTTCTTCTCCTTTTTAACATTTTTTATTTATTTTTTTCTGTAGAAATCTGGGGTTTATTTTAATGTTAAACTGAAGACCTAAATAATTCACAACTTAGAAGAACAAATCAATAAATGAGCAAACACTGTTTCCTTGTGGATTTAACACCTTGTCACTGGTTGTACTGTAGATTTGCAGCTGTAAGTGGCTTTTCTTCACGGTATCCCTGAT